GGCCCAGGTGGCACTCAGCATTGGAGATTGCGCTACGAGATATTAAACAGGCGCAAACGAGCCCGCAGGGGATTGGGCTGGCTTCGACGCACAGCGATATAATTATAAGAGTAAACACTGCGGGGGGGGGGGGGGGCTTCACCAGGGAATGCTGGAAGACTGAGGATTAGGGGAAGAAAACCATCTAGTCATGGCTGCTACCTGTCAACAAGTTGTGTGTTTTCCAATAGCTTTAGAGGAAATCACTGAGTAATCAATTTCCTACTGACCCTGAGTTCTTGACTGCAGCCCAGCGCAACTCAGCCTTTCACATAGACATGTGCCTGTGTGTGTCAAGGAAAAGACGTTCTGCCTGTCGGTGCCACAAACTCCTAACAATACGGCGATTCTCCTGCTGAAAACGGCGTGAAAATGATGTAGGTCATCGGTTTGTGCTGGAAACACACAGCAGGCAAAGCAGGAATTCTGTGATGCACACCTGAGTAGTGAGGATAGACCCACGACAGGGTACACCCCCTGTGGGACATTCTACTGCAGGGTATGCCCCCATGGACATATTATAGCAGGGTACATTGCAGTGGGACATACCATTACAGAGTACAGCCCTGTGGGACATACCATCGCAGGGTGCACCCCTGTGGGACATACTACCATGCGTGGAGGATGCTGCTCCACAAAGCCCCATATTTGAGGAGAGGCGTTGGTGTGCACTGAGGGTGGATGAGGAACGCTCTGCAGGGAGAGGGAAGAGGAAGTGGCGGTACAGTGATGTGTTAAAGAAAATGAGGATGTGTGACCCGGCCTGTTGCTGGACAGTGCTGGGCCTTTGAGACAGGCTTGGGGGGCAGGGTGTGGGGGTTCAGGGGGGCGTTCAGGGAAACAGGCAGGGCATAGAGCAGGGGCACATACCTTGGTACCCAAGACCCAATTTACCCCGAAGAAACCTTATCAGTATAGCCAGCATGAGATGGTTCTCCGTGCCTTTTCAGTGCGTGGGGCTCAAGAGCACACTAATAAGTCAGTGTGTCGCTTCCGTCGTTGTGGTCACCCGCTGTGAACTGTTGCGTAAGTGTGTCACGACCGTACTGAGGAACAGAACAGGGGGCCTGGCCGAGAGTCATGCGAGCCGCTGATGACGGGGCTCTCTGATGGGGCTCCCTGAAGGGGCTCTCTGACGGGCCCCTGCTGACGGGGCTCCCTGAAGGGNGGGCTCTCTGACGGGCCCCTGCTGACGGGGCTCCCTGAAGGGACTCTCTGACGGGCCCCTGCTGACGGGGCTCCCTGAAGGGGCTCTCTGACGGGGCTCTCTGAAGGGGCTCTCTGACGGGCCCCTGCTGACAGGGCTCCCTGAAGGGGCTCTCTGACGGGCCCCTGCTGACGGGGCTCTCTGAAGGGGCTCTCTCACAGGCCCCTGCTGACGGGGTTCCCTGAAGGGGCTCTCTGACGGGCCCCTGCTGACGGGGCTCTCTGAAGGGGCTCTCTGATGGGCCCCTGCTGACGGGGCTCTCTGANACGGGGCTCTCTGAAGGGGCTCTCTGATGGGCCCCTGCTGACGGGGCTCTCTGACGGGGCTCTCTGAAGGGGCTCTCTGATGGGCCCCTGCTGACAGGGCTCTCTGTTGGGCCCCTGCCAATGGGGCCCTGCGAGGCCCTGGGAGCATGTGTTGGGATCAAGTCCGCACGGGCACACCGCCTTCCTGACTTCCGGAAGCATGGAGGGGTGCAGATTCGCACTGGGATGCCTATTCCAGGGGTCTCACATGCTGATCTTATGCAGCGGTCACCTCTCATATTCAGGGGCACAGTTAGAAATCCTGACAAAATGTCACCTTTGGCCTCCTGCCCACTTACATTATATAACGATATAACTTTTTGTATTCGACCCAGCATGAATCTGCCAGGATTCCTGTGCCCCTACTACTCCCCTCCTCGTGTCAAATGCATGTTTCTTTTTCGCGTTTCCACCTTGCTGTATTTTGCCCCGAACGCTGCGGCCCGTTTGCGCCGCTGCGGAGGGACTCTCGCATTTCAGCATGCGGCAGGAGCGGCTCATGGCCGCAGTGCGTTCCCACAGCCCGCTCGCTAAACTTGCCCAGTGATTCAACACGGATTCGATCTACCTTTTTAGTTCTACCGCCAATGACCGCTCGGCCCAATTACCCTGCCTCCATCTTTCCGCACGCGCATATTTTTTCCCTCCATCTGTCAGTCCATTTGCTGTTCTGCTGGTGCGCCAGGTAGCCTCTGCTAGTTCGGAACGGCGATGTCTGACGAGCGCCCGCAGATTGACAGGAATCACCCCTGCAAACGCATTACCACGCGGGACAGATTGGGGGCCTCGTCTTGCCAAAGGCAGCCTCGATGCAGTCAGCCTCTCAGATGGATTTGGCGACCCCTCTACCTCCGGGCCGTTAACAATTTTTCCGTCGTTTGGCTCAGCCGGTTAGGACCCTGTGCCTGTGATCTGGAGGTCGCCGGGGCTGGGTTCTGCTTCGTCGCAGCAAGGTACAGACCCTGTGGCTGTGATCAGAAGGTTGTTGGTTCAAACCCTGGGGTCGGCAGAGTGATGTCACTATTGGGCCCCTGAGTGAGGCCCTTAACTGCCAATTGCTGCAGGGCCTGGCTGTGTCACTTTGGATAAAGGAGCCTACTGAATAAATAAAATGTAAAATATATAATGTATCCATTCCCATGAAGGTCCGGAGGTCACTTTCTGGGGGTCTGTGTGAGGGTCCCCATAAAACGGCATGGAGGGCCTGTGGAGAATTGTGGTCGAGCTGCCTGACACACTTTGAAAAAGAATCATTATAAAGCTGCTTTTGTTTATAGGGCAAATGCTAACGTGAATGTGCAGGACTTTAATAGTGATGGCCCACTTAATGTGAGATGCTGGGCTGATGAAGAATCCCTGCTCTGTGTGTGTGTGTGTGTGTGTGTGTGTGTGTGTGTGTTTGTTTTTGAAGGGTGGTTTGTTATCTTTGTGTTCATGAGTTTTTCCACAATTAGAAAACGGCCACCATGAAAAAATACCTACAAAGAGACTTTCCAAAGATAGCCTGAAAAAAAATTTTTTAACTTAATTTTATTTAAAGAAATTAAAAGCATTTGTTTTGTTTTGTTTTTTGCCTTCCGGAGGTTTTCAGAGCAGAGACATGCTCCGGACAGGTATGATAGTGAGCATACTCATTGGGTGTTTGTTTTATATGTATGTGTGTGTGTGTGTGTGTATGTGTGTGTGTGTAATATGAAGCACTGTTATTTCCTGGCAGACTCGCACTGCATTGTGGGAAAGTCAGAGAGCTGAAAACGACAGGCACCCTGCCGGGGGTCAGCCCGGGGTCCTTGTTCTTCTACACATTTTCTCACTGGAGTAGAGATGTAAAAAAGGAATGCTGACATCTCAAAGTAACGAGACAAACAATCCCAGCCCATGAGCTGGTGACCGCGAAGGTGACTGGTATGCCATGCCGGTTTGTTTACCATGCTGACCTCAGTTTCCCTGGATGCTGTTGTGGGCCTGTTTCATTGTGTTTTTCTTAAGAACTCACCAGATCATGTGTAAAAATGCATCACAGCCCCCTTCACATCAGAACCCCAAGCAAAGGGCTTTCCCTCCATATGACCCGTCCCACGACCAAGTGTCGCTCCGAGCCCCGGAGATACAGCAAAATGACTTCCGAGCGTGGGCCCGCAGACCGTGAAAGGACCTCCAATTATGTGTGTAATAGTGCCTCGGTGATAATCTGTAATAGTGTCGGAAAGCGAATTGTCTGAAGTGACATGGAAAAGCCTATTTTGGGCGCTCACAGGATTATGCTGCGTAGATTAGGGTTTACTATAAGACTCACCGTAATGAAAGGCTCCCGCGCCCAGCGTCAAATACAGCAACACTTCCTCAATAGCATTTTACTGAATTGCAAGTTTCAGGGAGTGCATGCAAATCACCCCCCCCCCCCCCAGCATATACACCTCTGGGGGGTATCTGCTGGGGCATGCCCTGGTTAAGCACTCCCGACAAGAAATGGTCACCTGAAGTGATAGATGGGGACATCTTCTTAGACCCTACTGAGTCTTCAGCAAGGTTAATATATAATACAAACTGCAGAAAATGAGGGTGGTCTTGTACCCGGTAGTCTGAATGTGCTCCTTTATAGCGTAAGACTAATGTGGGGGGGTCCTTTTGTCTGCCATTGGTCCAACACATGTTTATGGGGAAGGTATCAGTGGTCTTTTTTGTGTCTGGCGGCCAGTCTGTGGTGAGTCTTGATGGTGTACGTGAGACCTACGGAAGGCCGTCTTTGTGGTTAGTCCGCTCTGGGCCCTTATTTTCCGCTGTGACTAATCAATGGTGGGTGTTCATTGTGTACCACGGTAAGGAGCGAGTGTTGATTATGTATAGGATGGGGGGGGTCTCCCACCACGTACAGTCTTTGTTTCTGCCGCCCCCCTCCCTCCACAGCTGGACCTCGAAGATCGCTTCCTGCTTTACAAGGACGTGGACGGAGGAGTGAGATTTCAGCGCAGCTGTCATTGTCACCGGGGCTCTTATCGCGTAGGGGACTCTGCGCGGGGGGGGGGGAGGGGGGGCGTTGGACAGGGAGGTTCTGAGAGGGGCCTCTGTGAGCGAGGAGATAGCTGAGATAGCAGGAGAGCCTGGATGGGATTACAGAGACGCATCCCCAACAAAGGGCCACTTCAGTGTGTGTGAGCGTCCACAGTGCGATGGAGACTTGGTCTGTTCATTTATAGGTTTATTAAAGTCGTGGCGTTGCAGGGTAGAGGATGCGGCACGCGGGAGGTCAGCTCTCAGTGTGGCGTCCCGGATCGCCGACATCCCTGTGTGACACAGCCGGGATTTTTGTGAGGATAGACTGAGCATGTGTGTGTCAGGCTTTGTCATTTACATTCTAAAGGAGTTTCCTCTTCTCTTCCTTTCTCCCTGGATGTGTGTGTGTGTGTCTGTGTGTCTGTGGGGGTGTTTTATGTGTGTGTACCTGCCAGGTGCTGCTGTTCTTGGATACTGCGCTGAGCTGTGCACAGATCCGACTGTGGTGCTGGAGGTGCGCTGTGCCAAGACTCACCAGGTGAGGGCTCCTCTTCTCACTGACACTTGCCAGGCGAGGACTCCTCTGCCCTCTGAGACTCACTAGGCAAGGACTCCTGTGTCCTCTTACTCTCACTGGGTGAGGATTCATCTCTCCTCTAAAACCCTTATGGTCTCTCCTCTATGACTTGCTAAGTGAGGACTCCTCTTCCCTCTGTGACACCCTGGGTGAGGACTCCTCTTCCCTCTGTGACACCCTGGGTGAGGACTCCTCTTCCTTCTGTGACACCCTGGGTGAGGACTCCTCTGGCGTCTGAGGCTCACTAGCCAATGATGCCTCTCCCCTCTGAGACATACTTGAGGAGGACTCCTTTCTGAGAATCACTAGGTGAGGATTCCTCCCCTCTGTGACTCGCTACGCAATGACTCATCTCCTCTCAGAGATTCACTGGGTGAGGACTCCTCTCCACTCTATGACTCACTAGGCAATGACTGCTCTCCCTGCTCTCCCTTCTGAGACTCACTGAGTGAGGACTTCTCTCCCCTCTGTGACTTACTACACAATGACTCATCTCCTGTCTGAGAATCACTAGGCGAGGCCTCCTCTCCCCTCTATGACTCACTAGGTAATGACTCCTCTCCCCTCTATGACTCCTCGGGTAAGGACTCCTCTCCTCTTTGAAACCCATATAGTGAGGATTCCTCTCCCCCCTGAGACTTGCCAGGTGAGGGTACCTTTAGCATGGCAATGCTCCTATAATGAAACTGCTGCTGTAGCTATGGGCAGACATTTCTGCTGCATTATTTCTGGAAAGTGTTCAGCTGTGTAATTTTGGATCACCTGGTAAGTAACGAAAAAGACGAATAATGACGATAATGGTATGAAGCCCCTGGCAATCTGGGAGAGGGTGGTCTGTACCCTGGTGGTGGTGGGGGGGTGCAGACCGCCCACCCCCCACGCAGCAGACCGGCCGGCCCATGTGTGCTCGAGCACGCAGCAGGGATACAGACTGCGAGCTGAGGAGAGTGGGTTGATCGCCTTCATCCCGGAGCGTCCGTGGCTGCGGACCAAGGGCACCGTCGACATGTTTTTCCGCGTCTCCGTGGAAGCGGCCCAGGATGCGTTTGGCTGTGTCCCTCCACGTCTTAGTGGAATTAGTGTTCGATCCTGGCAGTAGTCGCTCCTTATGCTTTTATAGCCAATTACCGGGTGTCAGTCGGAACATGCTGATGTCTCCGTTTCTCAACTTTAAAGAGGAGGAGCGCGGCGGCTGCTGCCAGGCCCCGCACCGTATTTACTTCCTGCGCAGTGCTGGCTCGCCGGTCGTCTTTCACCTTGGAGAAGCGACACCTTAGCTGTGCGGCTCTCCTGCCGGCAGCCGGGCCCAGCGCACTGGGGGAATGTAATCAGGCGATCCGTGCGGCACCATCGCGGCAAGCGCAATAAGGCTGCTCACACACTCCTCTGTCCTGTACATGCACGACTCCTGTAAGTTATGCGCTCAGTCTGAGCCCCCCGCCCTCCCCCCCCGTTCCTGTATCGATCCAAAGGCACCTGTAGGCCTCCCACCGGGAGCGAATCAGAATCACACACGCTCTGGCTGCTGTTACACTGTAATGCAAAAGCACCAATGAGGAGGAAGCTTATTTCACTAGCATGGACTTGTGAAAGCAAGGTGGACAGCAGAGGCGAGGCTAAGCTGAGTCCACTCTTCATGATGACAAGCCCCGCCCATGACCACACCCCATTATGTTAGGCCACGCCCACCCGTTGTTTTTTTTCCCAGATTCTACCTCGGTGAACCTTTATACTCTTCCTGGACCACCATGCCACAAGTCCCCATCTTCCCAGCTTAAGCCTCACGCCCCCCTCCCCCCCAGCGCTGCCGGCCTGCCCACCGTCGAGGCGGGCATGTAAGTTATCGCCGCGTCGGAGGAGTGTGCTATTAGAACGTTCCGGTGGCTATTACGCCGGTCGCGCGCTGGCCGCCTCTCCTAACGAACATATGCTTCCGAACGAATGCCTAAACTCTTATTTATGGATTTAATTTAATGTGCGGGAAGAATTCAAAATTAAATTTGGTGTCTGCCTCCGGAGAGTCTCGGTGTATAATAACATGGTAATTTTTACACATCTTTATGAGAAATGAGAAAATTAATTCTTTCTGACAAGCTGTAATTATTGGACTTGGAACAGTTGCCACTGAGCAGTTTGAGCTCCGATTGTCTGGCACCGAGCTCAAGGAGAGGGCACGCACACACGCACAGACACACGGACGCACACACACGCACACACTCATGAACACACAGGGGTACTCAAACACACACACATCCATACAGAGGTCCTCCTATACACACATATATATATATGCATACACACATGCATCTACACAGATATGCTCACATACACACAGTGTGGATATCCATACAGGATCAGATACTGAACATTTCCTCTCACCATCAGACTCACCTACGCTGCGGATTTATGGTGACTAATATCCTTTGTTGTGTATTCATATTATTGATTATTTAGATTAAGACTAACATTTTCTGGATTTTTTTATAAATACGGGATATTTTGTCCCATTTCAGAATACGCGGGCAGATAGTGTTGAAAGTAATTCTCTCCGAGCTGGAATTGCTCTGGAAATATGTAGGTAACATTTCTGGGCAGTTGGGGACCCAACTCCCATCTTCTGATGCCTGACTCTCTAATGCAGCTGTATCTGCTCTGCCGGGGGGGGGGGGGGGGGGGGTCTTAGTCCCAGTAATGCACCTTTGGTTTTAGAGTAGATTCAACTTTATTGTAAGTAGAAGTATTCAGACATCGAAATGCAGGTTGGAATCTAATCTGAAATAGTGCAAAAGTGCTACAACATAACCATATGTTATGAATAAATAAATATCTGCACAGTTATACAGAGGTACGCATGGTAAACCTGTTGTGGTATAAATTGTGATTTTATGCAGAATCTGTGATTGTAATGAAAGAGAATGAGAGTTCTGTACAGCGTATCTATCTATCTATCTATCTATCTATCTATCTATCTATCTATCTATCTATCTATCTGTCTGTCTGTCTGTCTGTCTATTGAAATGCAGGGGGGGAGTATGCTGTCCATAGTTTGGGTGGGAATAGGTGTAGTGGAGTGTCTTTCTGGGGTCAGGAGGGGAAGGACCTATCTTTCTTGGCCAGGACGCTCCAAACAAACACGCCAGCATACCGGCCTGCCTCCCACGTCCTATCGCTGCCCATGCATCAGCCACAGGCCACGCTTAGTCACGCGTCGAGCCGGGCCGTCCCGTGGCTGACTCACTCACATTCAGAGGTCACATGTGTGCAAGGGCCTCACTCCACCGTTGGCCACCGGTGGTCCGGCGACCTGTGTCCAGCCGCTTTGAAGCGGCCCGCTGCAGCTGTTCCGTGGCCGGGCTCCACGCGAGATGGAGAGGGGGGTCCACGGTGGCCAAGCCACCCGCCCTCCCCTCCCTGCGGGTGGGAGCGGCCCAGCAAGGGCGGCCCAGATGGAAGGAGGAACTGGGAGAGAAATGGGCTAAACCATCAAGCGGCGGCATGTGGGGGGGGGCAAGATGGGCTTGGAGAGGTAAGGACAGGTTTCATTGCGGGGGTGGGGGGCAGCTGGGGTAGAGGGCAGCATAGATTAGCAGGGCTGGCCGGTAAGCGGGGGAGTGGACAGCCTGAGCTGGTAATTGGGCAGTAAAGGGGACCAAACTGGGCACAGGATGGTCAGCTGGCAGCGGAGGAGGGGGGACGGGGGGGACAGGAGAGGCTGGATGCTGAGGCAGGGGACGGGGGGTAACTGGGATAGTGATCCAGGGGTGCGGGTGGCTGGAGGGGGCTTGGCCGGCGGGCGGGCGTCTCGCTCACTGCGATGGCCAGCAGGTCGTCCCAGGTCAAGGTCGGTGGCGAGATGTTCCGAGCACATCTGTGCCACATCAGCGCCCCCACCCCCCGGCCCCAGGCCATCCTGCCCCCTGTCCCTCTCTGAGGCAGGCAACTTAGCAAACCCTGTCTCTCGAAGATGAAGCCCCAAACAGACAGGGCGGGTCCCCCTAAACAGAAAGGGCGGCCCCCCCACAGAGATCAGGCCTGCCGGCTTTTGGGAACCTGGATCCAGTCCCCCAACAGGACCTCCGCCCGTGATGGTGCTGACGTGGCCCACAGAACCCATTACGGTTTATTTATTTATCCCTTTTCATTTTGTCATCTGCCGTTGAATGTTTAATGTGTTGTCCTGACAGTGGTTCCCCCCCCCTGGGAGCTGAATCTGCACACCGGTGGCGGGGTGAATTATACATGATAGGGCCCGCGATGGAGAGCCAGTGTCACTGAGAGGCGTTCACACTCCTGGGGCCCACAGAGGAACCTGTTGTTCCGGACAGGTCAGAATGTGCCGGAAGCTGCTAATGCACCTGCCGCCGTCGGTGCATCTGAGTGGGTTCGGATGCGGCACATTTCGCCGGTGAATTGGTGGCCCTTATTGGCGGCTCTGCACTGCCAGTTGGCCTCCCAAGGTGACAGGTTGCTGTGCATGTCAGCGGCCAATGGCAACATCTCTGGCTGTGATAAGCCCCGCCCACACAGTTCCCAGCATGCCCTGCAGCTCTGCCCCTACCACAGCCGAGCGTGTAGCCTTTATTCTTCGCCGTTTCCATTTCAGATATTTCTCCTCGGGTTCTAAAATGTGAAATATGATCGTGTGAAAAAAAAAAAACATGAAAGTCGCAGGCTGATTTCGCTTTGCTGTGATTCTTGGCTTCCTGTCACTATCTAGGATAGAGTTCAAGGCGAGTATCAGCCAGCGGGAGCCTCGGGAGCCCAGGAGCAATCTGTTGAGCCTTTGAATCCCCATAGAACGTCGATCCCGCGTGGGACGCCTTGCTGAGGCCTGGGGCTTTCATTTCCGAGTCCTCAGGGGAGCGGTCTAATGAAATCAGTCGCCCCATGCAAATGAGGCCGCTGTTAACCCCAATCAGGGAGGTGGCGGAGTGCTCCCCACTCCCGTCCCCCAGGGGGAG